TCAGACCTGACAGGATTTGTAGCCTTAACATAGACCACCAGTGATATGAAAACGCTTGTTCTAAGTTTAAATGCTAATTAAGTTGATAGCCTCCTCTTCTCCCCACTCAGTTAGTGAACTAACACTTCAATTAAAAGACAAAACATGCTTGCAATGGACTTTTTAAAAAGGAAGAACTATATACTATCTATTAAGAGACAGTTTAGATATGAAGACACAGACAGACTGATAGTAAATGGATAGATTTATGCAGTAAGAGGGCAGCAGTTGTAGTGATACCAGATAAGATAAACAGTAATACCAGATAAGGAAAAAATAGACAATCTTTTTTTTTTAAAGAGAGAGTGAGAGACAGTGAGAGAGAGAGAGAGAATTTTAATATTTATTTTTTAGTATTTGGCGGACACAACATCTTTATTTGTATGTGGTGCTGAGGATTGAACCCGGGCCGCACGCATGCCAGGCGAGCGCGCTACCGCTTGAGCCACATCCCCAGCCCAAAAGTAGACAATCAAAACTAAAAACTTGATCTTTAAAAGCTAGTTAGGAAGGCAAACCACAGATCAGAAGAAAATATTGCAAAACATGTGAAAAAAGGATCCTCTATAGAATGTAAGGTATTCTTACAATCCCACAATAAAAGCATATGGAAAGGAACCAATTGGCTGATTTAAAAATGAACAAAAGAGGTGAGGTGAACAGACTTTTTCACAAAAGAGTTCATGCTGAACACATGAAAGCTACTCAACATCATTAATATTAGTGGAATGCAAATTATAAACACAATGAGATACCATTAGACACTCAGTAGAACAGTTATAGTTAAGAGGACAGAGAACATCAAAGGAAAATAAGGACGTAGAGTAACACTCTTAATATGGTTAATGGGAATGAAATTTTATATACATATTTCATAAAACAGTACAGCAGTATCACATGCTACTAAAAACACATGTCCCCTATGATACAACATCCACCTTATTTGCCGCTCCTGACCTGCATGGGCAGCTGAACTTAAGGTCGTTCATGTGAATTTGCAGGGACACCAGATAAAACACAGACACAATTTACCTTTACACAAGCTTCAGGATGGCTTCTCCAGTCTCAGCCTCAGGCTCCCCAAAAGGTAGAGCAAGAGAAAGTCACAAGAGGCTGGCGAGAGGGAGCGAGCATTTTCGGAAGTAGTCTTTTATTGGGGGGAACTCTTGTTCTTTAGAATGTTCTATCCAAAAAAGGCCAGAAGGGGAATGGTTACAAAGGTCAGATGAGTGTAACTCAACCCCAGGGGCAACGCCTACATCTGAAGACATGCCTTTGCTATCTCAGCTGGGACAACACACAGGTGGTGATTGGTCAGAGCCTCTTGCTTCAGGACTGGAAGGCATGGGTCATTCAGAGTGGCTCCTCACACTTACCTAAGAGAAATAAAAATCTAAAGACACATAAAGACTTGTCCACAAATGTTAACAATATCACTATTTATATCAGCTAAAAACTGAAAATACAATTCAAGTGTCCATAACTGGTGAATACATAACTATGATAGTCATAACTGTGCAGTAATAAAAAAGAACAAAATATCAATATAGTAACACATTTGAATCTCAAAAATATTATGCCACACAAGGTCAAACACAAAAGACTACTCATTGTATGATTCCATTTACATACAAATCTAAGAGAGACAAACCACAGTGACAGAAATCATACTAGCCATGCCTAGACCTGGAGTTACAGGAAGCCATCAAGGACATGAGATAATTACTGAGAGTGAAGAAACTCTTCCATCCTGAATGAGGTGGTAGTTACATGGAGTTACACAGCTGGGTATAAATGCTAAATCCATCAAACTGCACACTTGAAAATGAATAATTTAAAGGAGAAAGATACTTGTAATTTTCATTAGACAAAGTTTAAAGAGCTCTTAGAAAATAAAGAGGGAAAAAACTAATAATCCAACTGGAAAATGAGCAAAAGAAATGAATACTTCATTTACAAAAATGGACGATCAATTGGTTCTTACATAAATTTTAACATTTAAACTGATATGAGAAACTCAAATGTTAAATTATGCTGAGAAAGCATTTTTCATAGATAGGACTGCCAAAATTCCAAAAGCTTGGTAATGCTGTCCTATGAAGGGTACATGGAAACAGTCTCACACATTGCTGAAAGATAAGTAGGACAGCCCTTATAGAAAACAACTTGGTGAAATTACAAATACATTAACCATTCCACCAAGAGTAATTTCACTTTGATAAATTTATATTATGAACTTGCACACACATAAAATATACAAAAGCAAAGTTTTTAATAAAAGACTATAAATAACTCAAATGACTATCATAGTAGAAAAAATAATGACACATTAAAAAGTAAAATATTACAGACCTATAAAATATAAGAGCTCATTATACAGTAATTCGAAAACAGATATAAAACACATTGTCAAATGAAAAAAAGCAACAACAACAAAAAAGAACAGTGAGTATGGTATAGCATATTCTATATAAATAAGGGAAGATAAGACTTTATGTAATTACTTCTGTATATGCATATAGAAACTGGAAAGATAAAGCTAGTAAGAATGATCACTTGCAAGAGTGAAGATAATAGGAAAAAGAATGCATTTTAATTTTTTGACAATGTAAATAGAAAGAATTTGATGAATTAATTGAAATCAGTTCAATGTGAAAATGTTTAAGAGAATGAGTAGACCTCTTAAAATGATATGCAAAGACAGGTCACAAAACTAAAAGACAGTATTTACAATTCTAAAACCAAAAGGATTTGTGTCAAAAACATAAAAAGGGACTGGAAGTGTGGCTCTGTGATAGAGCCCTTGTGTGGCACCCATGAGGCCCAGGGTTCTATCCCCTGCACTGTACACACACAAATCAATCTGTGTGTCTACCTATCGGGCTCTTAAAGTCAGTAATAGAAAGACAAATAACCCAAAAGTAAAGAGGAAATGAGCAAAAGATTCACATCTATTTCACTGAGGGTGACAAAACAGTAAGTAAACATGAGATAATGCTAAACTCTATCAGGAGAGAGCAAAGTAAAACATTCATCAGGTATATTCTCTCAACCAGACTGGCAAAAACTCAAGTCTATAATTTGAGCTGTTGGTAAGTGTCTAGGTCAGAGATCAGTCAACTACAGTCTGTGAGAGCCTCCAGTTTTAGAATAAGTTTTCTGGGATCACAGTCAAACATACACTTTCTAGCTGCTTCTAGCTGCAAAACCAGAAGTGAATAGCTGCAACAGAATCCTAAAACATTTCCTATTGGGCACCTTAAGAACAAGTTTGCCAATTCCTGATATAGATCGATGCTAACTCCTGCAGACTGTTGGTGGATGTAAACTAGGAAAAGCACTTTGTAAAAGCATCTGACCCTGTATACTGAAGCTTAATATGTAACACATAAACGCAATAGTCTCTCTAACACTGAATGTATCAGAAAAAATAGAGAAAGCAACAAACACCCATTGACAAGAGAATCATAAATTGTCCTATATTTAAACATTAGTGCAAGGCAATAAAAATGAGAGCACTACGAACATCATTATAAGCTCTCAAAACGCATTACTACTACTAATAAAGTTATAGAAGAATAATAAGTACAGTGAAACTCCATTTGTATCAAGTTCAGAAACATACAAACCATGTATTCTTTTCAGAATATACAGTACAACTATGAAGAAAAGGCATCAACTGCTAAATACAAAATGCAAAATTGTATCTTCTGCTGGTAGGAAGGAAGCTGGAAAGATGAATAGGGGGTGCTGCAAAGACATTGGCTCTGACTTACCCTCTAAGACAAGTGATCATGTTTATTAATGCTATTCTCTAGGTCTACATACACAGATGAATGTCTTCTTCTATGAATTTGATGGTTAATAACTTTCAAAGCTCTACTAAAGAAATTAATAATGAAGACATCATGTTGCAAAGTATTGGTTCTCCCCCAGTTAATTTCCATAATTATATTCCAGTAAGAAAAAATATTTAGTACTCTCCTAAATATACTCCCTCAGCAGTACTATGCAACTTCAAAATGTGATACAAATAAAAGGCATCTTAAGAAAATATTATGCAAATGTAAAGGACAATCTAAAGATTATAAAGAGTTGAGATAGGCAATCACTGGACTTAAATTTGACCATGATCCCTTCTCAAATTCACTTTCCAATGCAAGATAAAGGGAACAAATATAGAAAAAAATTTAAAATTGTAATTAAATAGTCTTCTATTAGAATTGTATGCATTCAGTTCCATTCTTAAAAAGCAGCTCACTTAAAAAATGTGAAAATGTATTTTATTTTTATTCCCTGCCATATTCCTGAAAGAATCTAAAGAAATAGAAATAAATGCTTCCTCCTTTAATAGGGGATTAAAGACAAAATCATGAGAAAAGTGAGGAATAAAAAAAAAAAAAAAAAATTTTAAAGTCATGGTGAAGGCTAATACATCAAGGTAAAACCATAAGGAAGTTTTACACAAGTTGTTTATACTGGCTGATATCTGCAATCGACTATAGAAAAGATGAAAACATATAGTTAAAAGTTTTGTACCATCTGCTCAAGGATGATTTTCAACTTCTTTTTTTTTTAAATGAGAACATGTAATTTTTTTTATAGTTTTATTTTGTTTATTTTTATGTGGTGCTGAGGATTGAACCCAGGGTTTCGAACCCAAGCCTCGAACCCAGGCCCTTGAACATGCTAGGCAAGCGCTGTAGCACTGAGCCACAACCCCAGCCATTCAATTTCTTTTGATATTGATTCCATAGAGAAGTATTCCTAAGAATCTTAAAAAGAATTTAAAATTAACTATCAAGCAACCAAAATATCTAGCAGGTTAATAAAATTAATGATTTATTAGGGGACCAAAAACTGGAGGGAAATACCTGAAAATAATCTGCAGTAAGATTATTCAATGAAGTAATTAATGATACCACTTAATATTCAACATATTACTCATGAAATTTACTGACCTTCCTGAATTGCCATGTCCACAGTTATCCCAGAAGCTGAATGCAGAAGTTTTTGGTAATTCTGTGCATTCTGGTCAAATAACTGTACAAGAAGAGAGCACGTCTTTTCATATTCACATCTGCTGACAGTGCACAACTGCTCCAGCTGCTGAAACACAGTAGCAGTATCATCCAGTGGGTCATCTAAATGGTCTCTGCAAACACATAAGCATGTAGATAACATGAGAATGTATTTTTATTCACCACAAACTTTACATTAAATAAAACTATGATGGATAAAGAAATAAGAAGGGCTGGGGTTGTGACTCAGTGGTATGGCGCTCGCCTCACACAAGTGCGGCCCTGGGTTCGATCCTCAGCACCACATAAAAATAAATAAATAAAATGAAGGTATTGTGTCCAACTACAACTAAAAATATTTAAAAAAAAAAAAGAAATAAGACAAATGGATTTGGAAAACAAGAAATAAAATGTCTATATATCAAGATGACTTGATTATGCACACAGAAAAAGCCAAAGAAACCGCAAAAATGCTACCAAAATAGGTGAGTTTACTAAGATCACATAGACTTCAATGTAAATTTTAAAACTAAAACTTCTAGAAGAAAAAAAGAAAATCTTTGTGATCTTGAGTAAGATAAAGATTCTCAATGTAACACCAAACACATGATATAACACATAAGAAAAGAAAGGATACACTGAACTTCATAAAAATGTAAAACTTCTGTTCCCCCAAAGACTTAAAATAAAAAGGAGAGAAAATTTTCTCTGAAACACATGTATGATAAGACTTCTGAACAGAATAAATGGACCTCTCAAATTTCAGTAAGAAATAAATTACCCTGTTTAAAAAAAAAGAGCAACAGATATGAGAATTTATAGGCACTTTGCCAAAGAATACATACAGATGGTCACACACATAAAAAGATGCTCAACATTATTACTCATTAAGGAAATGCAAATTAAATCCGCAAAGAAGTACTACTATATATCTTTTATACATTGCAGGTTAAGAATTCAAAATACTGGGGCTGGGGTTGGTGGCTCAGTGGTACAGCACGTGTGAGGCACTGGGTTCAATCCTCAGCGCCACATAAAAACAAATAAATAAAATAAAGGTATTATGTCTATCTACAACTGAGAAAGTATTTTAAAAAGAAAGAATTCAAAATGTTAAAGCAACTTTGGAAAATAATTTAGTAGCTTTTTATGAAGTGAAATATACACTTAATGATGCCACTCTGGAATCTTACACCAAAGAAATGCAAACAGGAAAACAAAACATATCAGTTACTGCCAGAGAGGACTACAAAGGGTCCCCCCTCCTGTCCCCCCCCAAAAAAAAAACAAACCTTTAGAGTTAATGGAACTATTCAGTATCTCAATTGTGATGTTATTTATAAAAATGCATATTCTTGTCAGAATTCACAGAACTTTACCCTAAAGAGGGTAAACTTTTAATTTAATTTAAAAAAACTCCAAGATGAAAATACAACAGAAACATTCAGTTTTTAATACCTCACAACTATGGCAACAGAGTCCAATCGAGACGTGATAAAGGCCTTTGTGATTTCAGGTGCATAAGTGTCTAGTAAGTGGGGCTCAGCTGATTTCACAAAAGGAACTGATGCTACCATCCTCTGCCACAGAGTTAATAAATAATGAACACTGTTTGGAGCAAACTCCCAATGCTACAAAGAAACAGAGCAAAAGAGATTTAAAATAACTTAATAGCTTTCTAGAATAACAGATACAAAGCAAAATTACTTTTTAAGTTAACTTTTATTCTGATTATATGACTAATGAATGCTTAATACAGCAAATTTCATAAACGCAAAAATGTTAAAGAAACCAATATCCCACAATATTATTCTGTTCAGAGATTATCACTATTAAAATGTTACAATATGTTTAAGTGTTAAACTATTTCCTTTTAATCATTCCATGAATATATTTTTTATAGAATTAACATCATATAGAAAATATGGTTTAGTAATTCCTATTCCAAATTTAAGAAAAGAATTCAACCACAATACAGTATATAAAAAATTATTTTATAGAGGTTTATTACAGCTTCTAAGTTATTCTTCAGTTATTAGACACTTTAAGTGATTTTTCAATTTTTTCTCATTAAAAATGTTACAATTATTTCTTTTACCTAAAAGTTTGCAAAGACCATTTTCAGTAAAGCACTTCAAGTAACAGGTATTTTAAAAAAAAAAAAAAAACACAAAAAAACACCCCCACTAACCTTTATCAAGAAATTGTTCTAAAACTAAGTACAGCTTAACATCAATTATTTTTTTTTTACTTACCTGTAGGCTAGTAATAGTAAAATTAGCAATCAATCTGATAACTTCAGGATACTCCTTGACCATAACTAACTCTCCCAGTTGATAATTTGTCTTTAAACGAGCCAAAAATCGACAAAATTCATGATAATTACCTGGATCAGACAAACCCTAAATTATGAGACAAAAAGTAAGTCTTTTAAAATAAACCAATCTATTGATAATAAAGCTACTAAATTTCAAAGAATTTTATTAAGTATTCTATTTGTTTTCAGAGGTACCTATAGTATCTTACATCAACTAGGTAGGCAATGTAAGAAAACAAATGATTCTTGCTAAATTTAATATTGCTGTCAATTATTCATAATAAGGAATCTAAAGTAGAATTTTTGGAAGAAGCTTTGCACAACAAAGACGAAAATATATCTGGGAATCTATTACACAAAAACAGAGTGTGTGTATTATAGCCTAAACAGAAGTCAACAAAGGTCTTGAAAAGTATTCAAGATGAAGGGCTGAGAGAAAAATATTTAAGATGAAAAACAAGAATGGGCTCTTGAAACCCGAGAAGGGAGTACTAACACCAGACTTAAATAGTGTGTGTACACACAAGTAGACAATTTCTTTTTATGGAACACTTTCTGAATACAGGCATTGTGCCCTGACTTAACTCCCTGTCTTTAAGTGTTACTCATTCAAACAAATTACTGCCATGTAGGGAACCAAGTTTAACAAGAAGACAGGACACACAGGTAACTTGTGAGGGAGAACAGGTTAAAAAGGAAAAGACCTTGAAAGTTCTCCCCAGTTGCTACAAGCTGCTTGAAAACAGAACACATCTCCACAGTTACCACTCTGTAGTCTCTGTAGCTAGCCTGATAGAGAATTCTATGCAGTGTTTGTTTAATACTCAACGAGTCTAAGAAATTTCATTCATAGGTACTCCATGAAAGAAGCAGCCTAGTGGTAGAGTGCCTTCCACAGCACGTGTGAAGCTCTGAGTTCAATTCCCAGCACTGCAAGTGGGGTGGTGGGGGGAGTTTTGCTGGGCACAGTGACACACACCTATAAACCCAGGGGCTCCAGAGACTGAGGCAGGGTATCATGAGTTCAAAGCCACCCTCAGCATCTTAGTGAGGCCTTAAAAATTTCAGCGAGACCCTATCTCTAAATTAAAAATATATTTTAAAAAAAGATTGGGGATGTGGCTCAGTGGTTAAGTGCCTCTAAGTTCAATCCCGAGTAAAAAAAAAAAAAAAAAACAAGAAAGGAAGAATGAATTTTAAAAGTGTCTAATTATTAAGTATGAATTCCAAAGAGACATTTTACAATCATAGTTTTTTTAATACATGTTTATAATTCTAAAACAATATAATACTTAAGATCAGTTTTTACAGTGAAACACTGACATGGGGATGCTAAAAAAAATCAATAGAATTATCTAACATGGGTATAGTAATTTCCACAATTTTGGTTGATGACAAGAGAATTAAACAACTAAAAACTTTTAAATATGTTGGTAAAAATTCTATTTACCAGCTAAACAGATAAAATTCACAGCTACGCTAACATTGAAAAGATAAAATACATGTTTAACTCAAACATTCCTGAGAACAACTTGCAAAATAATCAGTTTTGTGAGATAATCACATTTTATTTCTGTAGAAAAGTATTATCTGTGTCCCCACCAAAAGTGATTAATAACCAAGAGGTTTAGGTAAACCTCTTTAAATTACCATTTAACCTTTTAAAAATCTGTAGTTTAATTACAGATATTTTAAACCAGAAAAAAAAAATAATGAAACAAAATATTTATCTAGGTATCCAAAATCACTAATTATGGCTTTGCAATTCTCTGAAATAGGTATTGCCACTAGATCTCTGAAGTTAATGTGGAATAGATAACTCATATTTGTCCACAAGAGGGCAAAAAGACATTATTTCATAATTTAAAGCCTTTATCCCAATATTAATACTTAAATTTATATTAAGTCCTCTAGTTCAGATGGACATAACCCTGAATTAATCACTTCAATAGTTTAACCAACGTGGGCAAGGAAATGTAGCACAATAGTAAAAGACAGAAACATAATAAGATATATGACCTTTTTTCATATTCACCTAAAAGGAAAAAATGGAGAGGAACACAGAAGTCTTCCATGGAAACATCCATTTTTTAAAAACTGCCCATTTCTACTACAAATGAGACCTAAGTAAGATGAATGTAATACTAAATATTTTCTTCCAGAATCATAATAAATTCATGATGAGTTTATTATCTGCCTTTGAGCAGAAATATTATTTCTATATGCTAAGTATTAATTAAATTACTTCATAAATACCTGAGGGTTTTCAAGTATCCTTTTCACTCCCTTAATTAAATTACCAAGGTACTTGGCACGTTCAGGACTGCTAAATAAGGACCTTCTTGTAGAAGCAAACTGAACTAAACACGCAAGTGCCTAAAAACAGAAACAAAAAATTCATTTCAATTTTAAAAGGAGCTATGACCACATATAAGCAAGACTTAATTTAAAATGTAATTAATTTTAATGCTAAAAGAGCATAATATAAAATAATAGCTGAGCACCATCATACCACCACTCACAATCTTTCTATCCCATCAAAAAATTTTTATTTGTATGTATTCTCATCTAATATGCTTTTCTATACCAAATTTGCCAGAGCAGGGCTTAAACATGCCTACATTAAGAAAACTCCCAATTGCTTATGATGCCCCCTCCGCTGTGAGCCAATGAACCAGATGTTCTACCAAAGAGAAAATATGATCTTATGGTACAATATGTTAAATACTGTGAAATTATTCATTGTGATTCCTACAAAGGTGAGGGAAATCCCAAAAGTTTACTCAATCCAGAATATCCTAAATTTATTTAGTCATGGAATATTTTACATCATCCATTAGTATGTTTGGAAAATGCTAGAAGAGTTACTTACTTTCTAATGATATTTACTAAATTTTTTTTTTTTTAAATTTACTAAGTAAGGCCCCAAATTGGCAACTTTCAAGCCAAACTGGCCTGTGGTTCCCCTGAATTGCCACTTTTTTTTTTAACCCATTAAGTCCCAAGTTTTCGATTCTGTGAATGTTGAAATGAAACTGAAACAGGTGCATTAAAATGGGCTGGGAATCAAAATCTAGAGCTTAACTAAAATCAGTTGTCAATAAATATTTTAATTTGAAATCTTCACATAAAATGTGTGGCTCTCTTGGCAAGGGTAAGAATAGGTAAAAAATCCAAAAGATTGCCTTTTTAAAAGACATGCTTATTTGCTATTGCCTCTATCAGTTAAAAAAAAAAAAACAACAGAAAAAAAAAAAAACACCCAAGTTTAAAAAAATACAAAAGCCAAACAAACTTAAAAACCTCCTCCCCTTCAGTACTCTGATGTACAGACTTAGGAAACACTAATATATTAAAAGCAAAACACCCAGGGTTCAGGACATGTAGAACTGTTTTGTTGTTGTTGTTTTGTACTGGAGGATTAACCTAGGGGCACTTCACCACTAAACACATTCCTAGCCTTTTTGTTTGTGTTTTCATTTGAAACAGGATCTAAGTTGCTTAGGGCCTTGCTAAATTGCTGAGACTGGCCTTGAACTTGTAATCCTCCTGTCCCAGCCTCTCAAACCACTGGGATTACAGATATGCCCAACCAAGCCCAGCAGGAACTGGGTTCTGATCTTAGTAACAATGTGGACTTACTTTGTTACCCTGGGGTGACTTCCCTTAGCCATTCTGGATGTGCTTTGTTTTTCTGGTACACCTGGTGAGGACAGCATTAGGAACCCTGCAGAACCACTGTGATGATCTGTAGCTACTTCACTACCTTGAACTCTAGATTCTAGGACAGACATGTTTTTTTGAAGTGTGGTTTTGTGAATCCACTCCTCCTTTCTAAATGATAACATCTAAACAAGCATACCACTGGTATATGCTTTAAATCAGGAACATCTTTTTTTCAGAAAATGGCAACATTATTTCTAGAAGCTTGGATATTAAACCTATAATTATTTTTTAACATTACCATATCTATTACAGATGCTGCAAAGATGGAACCCACAGTCTCAAAGTTCTATACAACAACAGAGTTTCAAGATTTTTTGAACATATAACAGAACTTGATTAAAAAAACTTAACAAACAACAGTAGTCCTGAGCAAAAATCAAGTAAATAGTTCCCTCTTTGTGTTTCATTCAATGATACCTGGTGGAGGCTGTCTGCCAAGCCCAGGCCCTGGAGGGCTGAGGGGTGTTAGAAAGTGGGGAAGGTCCTGGTGAGGGAGCTGATAGCTGGACTTCAAATCTATGGGAACTGACTAGTACGAAAGGTATATTTACAAGTTGGTGTGTTGTTCTGGCTCTGGCAGGAGCAAAATCAACAGTTCCTGGTTCTGGCTCAACCATTAAATAGAATGGACTACTGACAAAATAAACAAAACCCAACAAAGAGCTCGAGTGAGATGCACCTAGGATGACACAAGAACTACTGTGACAAGTCGACCCAAACAAACATATTAGCAGAGTTTTGTGGATAAATAAACTCCATCCCTTATGTTCATTAAAGATCACAGCTACTTTTCAATCAAGTAATGAATGAGTTTTACTTACTAACTGAGACAGCAGTGGTGGAAGTGAATGATACAAATTGAAGAAAAGATCCAATGTTTCTGGTTCCAGGAAAACTGAGAAAAAAAAATTGATTTCTGATATCATTTCTTTCAATCCAGTGATCTTAACAAATAAAACAAAATCACACAAACTGAGGACAATGAGATCTTGGCCACTCTTTGCAGTTGAGCTATTTTAAATTCCTAGCTACTTTCCTCAGAAAACTGAGATAATAGAGATTAAAAACTAACTAGCCAAGATGATATAGCATCTACAGTTCTAAGTAGGGCAATCTTCCTAACTACTTTCACTTATATTAAAATAATATGAACACTGTTTAAAATTTCAAAAATTATCAACAAGCAAGCAGTACAAAAAAGTCTATAATATGAAAACAACTATATCTAGCCCCTTCCAACCACCTTTCAACATATTTACCTATACTTCTAAGTAATGTTGTACACTATTACTTCTTTTGGCTGTTTCACTTCAGATATACGCTTAAGTATTACCCTGAGCCTAAGAGGCTGTAGCTGCTCAACCCCACCCTGCAACTCCACCTCCCCAATCTCCACAATCCACCCTCCCGTTCCATTACCAACATGATTTGTGACTAAATCAACTTTGAAGTATTTACATTTATTATGACTACACAAAAAATATAAAAAACATTAACAGCCAGTCCTAGAAGTTTACTATATCACAATTATAATTCACTCTGTACTTAATCACAGCATTTTTCCTGTGTGTAGCTGTATGTGTCACAAACTCCAAATGCTCTCATTAGCAAGATGTTCTCCATGATGTTTTCCACATGGTCAAGAGCACCAAACATTCTCATTTCCACTCTCCCAGCCCTACCTCTCAGATGCTCCCACAGAACTGGCTATTTCCTAACTTTTTCACACAACGGTCTCCTCCCTACATCTATTCATTCCATCAGGAGTTGAAGTCTCTGTTCCTGCATCCCCTTCTTCCACCTTCTTGGCTTACAAATCAAGTAGCTTCCTGAGAGTAAGTACAAAGGGGATGAATTTGGGGAGGACTTGCATGTCTGAAGAGGTCTTTAATCTTGGTTATACTTGGTAATTTCCATTTAGTTGGAAAATAATTTTCCTGCAGAAGTCTGAGTCTTCCAGTCTACAATGCTGCTATGGAGAAACTGACTATCCTTCTGGATCCCAATCCTTTGTAGGTGACTGACTTTTTTCTTTCTTGTACATTTTAGGAATTTTTCTTTATCCTTTGTATTCTAAAATGTCATGATTATGAAGCTTTGCACATACCCATTTTCACTCATGATGCTGGGTACTTGGTGAGACAGTTTAATCCAAAAACTCTTATGACCTGCAGTGCTGAGAACATTTTTGCAAATTTCCTCCTGTTTTCTCTGTGCTGTATTTTGGCCCTCCAAACCTTCAGATGCCAGGCCTAATTTTATCTTCTAGGTTTTTTTTTATATATTTTTCTCCTTTCAAGCATCTTGCTTCCTTTGTTCTACCTTCTAAATTTCATTAACTATTCAGAACATTCTCTGAATTTCTACTTTTTGATAATATCTTACTCTTGTTCCAAGAATGTATTATCTTTTGTCATCTCTTTAGGAATAGTAATTATACCTGTTAGAAGCTAACTTCTACTCTTCATCTTGTCTACTCTTCACCTTGTCTATTTCTATTTTTTTTAACTGAACTTTTTGAGATAATTCTAGATCCATATATAGTGGCAAAACCCGGTACAGACTGACCTCATATTTTACTCAATATTTCACAATAGCACAAGGGAATTAACCTGGATACAATTCACCAATCTTATTAAATTTCCCAGTTTTACATGTACTTGTTTGTGTACACCTGGATGTTTTTAGTCTGTGCACTTCTTTATTCTATGTGTTGGTTCATGAATCCAATTACCAGTCAGGATTCAGAACATTAAAACCCTTTTTATTGATTTAATCTCTGACTTCATACTAGAAATTCTCAAAAACCCATGCTGCTTTTATGGCTTGATCTGCAATGTTCCCCAAAAGGCTCATGTACTCAAAGGCATGGTCCCTAATGCAGCCATGTTCAGAGGTGAGACTTTCAGGAAATGATTGGATCAGGAAGGTTCTAACCTCATTAATCCACCTGATGGATTAATGATTTGAAAGGATTATTAGAAGGCAGGGACCAAGTTACAGAAAGAAGGTCTGGCGGGGGGCGGGGGCTCTAGAAGGGTTTCATTGGGTGTGCCCCAGAAGGGTTTATTTTATCCCAGTCCCCTTCCTTCTTCTGTGTGCGTGTATGTGTCTATCTCCCCCTCCCCCGACCTTCACAGCTACTAAGAGTGAGCAGCTTTCCTTTACCATGCCCTTCTGCCAGGATGTTTCTGCCTTGGGGCCAGATGACCATGAACTGAAACACCCCCTAAATTGTTTATATCAGGTATTTTGGTCACAGTGACAAAAAAACTAACAGTGTTCCTCAACTATATCAGGTATTCCTGATTCTGATATATTCTGATATATGCTCTAGTTCAATTTTCTCAGAAAAAAAGCTTGGTATTGTGAAGCAAGGGAACAGTGCAGATGAGGGAGGGAGGGAAAGGCAGTCACCTAGCTGCACAAGTGGCAGAGACGAGACTATTCAGAATACAGTCTTTTAACCAAGCCCTTGAAGCCTCCTTCCCTCCCTGACTTCAGGGGTACCCTAAATATCACCTTTTTTTCTGGAATGAAATCATCTTATTTTTTTGTACTGGAGGATTAACCTAGGGGCACTTCACCACTAAGCACATTCCTAGAACAGAGTAAGTTGCAACTCTGCTAAGTCACTTACTCTAATTCATTCTCTTTATTGCTCTGGAAAATATGTTGACATCTCTTGTCTACTATTAGATCCTTTCCCATTCTGTTCATATGAAAGTTTCCAAACAGAGCTCTTGATTTTTTTTTCTTCCCCAAACTGTTTTCCATCTATCTCTAGAGCTGTCTTCTTTTTTTTTTTCCAAAATCAAAATATGGTAGTTACTATAATACATCAGGGGAAACATTTTGAAATTGGGTATCAGTAAACACTTCAGGTAGCAAATTCTTTTGGGTTGCAAAACACTTTTCTGATTGCCTAGCATAAAACAAAGACAACACACCCTGGGCAAATATATTGCTTCCTTCTGCATCATTAGGTTGACCACCCCTCATGCTCTTTATTCTTACTTGTTCTCCAGGTTGTTGGAATCTGTACTGTGCAAAGATCATCTGCAGACTCATCTGCTGAACTGCCAATGAAGTCAAAGTTGAGGCAGTTGAGGACCAGTTTCAAGACCTGCATCACCAGATTCTGTTGAAATTGATCTTGAAGATTTAAAGGTTTGGCCAATACCTGAAAAAAGGTTAAAAACAAAACACTATGAGCTGAGTGCAGTGGTGCACACCTGTAATCCCAGTGGCTTTGGGAGGCTGAGGCAGGAGGATCAAAGCCAGGCTTAGCAACCTAGCAAGGCACTAAGCAACTCATTGAGACTCTGTTTCTAAATAAAATACAAAATAGGGTTGAGGATGTGGCTCAGTAGTTCAGTGCTCCTGGGTTCAATCTCCAGAACCAAAAAAATCCATTATGAACACATCAACAAATTTTAACTTTATGAATTTAAATAATTCTTCAATGCCAAATGGAAATTAGTTAAAAAAATTAACAAAATTATATTACTCCAAATATTAGGGGAGAAAAGTAAAATCACTATCTTCAAATTTCTATGATAGACTACATTCAAATGTAATTTTGTGAGATAAGAATAAAAACATTTATACCTGATGCCGTACTGCAGGTCATCATCTAAAGTTATAAGGCAGCACTAAGAAAAATACTCTCCACAGTACAACTGCATAAATGTATACATAATTATTACCTTAAAGGTGGCTTTGCACAAGCCAAAGATTAAATGTTCTTCAAGAAACACTAGGACTAACTTCAATTATAACAGAGACACATTGGGTTAACAAAAGCTGTCAGAACTGTGATTATGGGAGGACACTCACAAGCTCTGGAGAGCAATCCTGACACCAAAACAATGCCCATTCTGACATATCAACAGAATATACCATTCTAGAGTTGCCCCATGAAATATCTGCAGAAGAAATGATGTGAAGTTTGGGATTCTCCAAGAATAACAAAAAAGAAGTAAAGTGAGCAGGTAGAGATAGGAGAGATGAAACAAGATTAGCTGCAAGCTATTACTGTTTAACTGAAGGGTTCTTGAGTGGCAATTATGTCTACTTTTGTATATGTTACATGTTGTATCTACCTACTTTTGCATATTATTTTTCCATACTAAAAGAAAATGTTTAAGACAATAAGGTCTTTTAGTCTGACCTAGTAGGGTACTTATCATGTTACTGTCAAGGGAAACATTCCCTAATCCAAAAACTTGAAATACAAAATGCCCTGTAATATAAAACTTTTGGAGCATCTACATGACAATCAAAATGATTTGGATTTTTGTGAATATCAGGTTTTGGATTTTTGGATTGGTGATACTTAATAAAGTCTATGCAAAAATCCAAATCTGAAACATTTCTGATTCCAAGTAGGGTAACAGGTACTCAGCTGGAACCATAGAACTGACATAAGGAGAAACTAGTTCTTATAGGAAGTGCTGTACTATGAGAACTAACAAGCTTGAGTGACACAATGGATTCCCTATGTTGATAAAGAGAACACAATGCAGTTATGAATCACAATATCACTAATGTTCAACAGGGCACTAAGTAAAAAATGGGAATTCCTATTTACCTAAGAAATTGTTAAACTCAGCTAGCTATCTTAGCTAATCTAAGAAAATTTTTGGTGTTTAATGAATCAAACTTAATTATTTCATTTTTCACCTACATCCCATCAAAACATGGGCAGGCAGATAAAGAAATGAAGACTCAATTTAGCTTCTTCAGTTAAGAACCTACAAGAGAAAGACAAACTACTACCTAAAGTTACTAAATTTCCTTTAGATTTTATTTATATACCTAGGGAGTAAAAGCCAATTTTTTGGAACCCCTTAGAGATTTGTACAAATATATCATACTTACATTAAGACTGTGCACAATAATTCTTTTAAAGGCAGAACTGGGGGCAGAGGGAATCCACTTGAAATCCTTTTGAAACTGTTAAAATTTCCTAAATAACTAGAAAATTGAATAACTAAATAACTTACCTCTTTTAGAAGAGAACACGCTAGCACTAATATGTCTTTGAGAGAAGTGTCACGAAATGAAGTAGCTATTTTCCTGTGTTTTGCTGAAGGTCTAGAATAATCAACCTTAAAAAAAAAAAGAAAAGAAAAATTAGTTTAACCAGACCTACCCCTCTCAAATACAAAAAAAAACAGCAAAAATGTACTCAGATAGAAATAGGGACTAAAGAATCATAAAGTTCAGAATTAAAATATCTTTTCAAAATCTACCAGGATAAGCGATTTTACTCAAGAAGTTGGTTTCTGGACTCTTTTCATTCAGTGCTCTTCTGACAAACCACATGATCTAGAAATTAAAAGGCAGAGCTGATCACACTTTCAGAGGCAACACAAACACTGACTGTAAAATACTAGACCCAAGACCATCAGCTCCTGAACCAGGCACTACATTTCACATCATGCAAACAACTTCCCTGTCCCTTATATGCCACCTGCAAGGTGACAAGTCTCTGAGCTCATCTTCAAACCCTAGCACTCTGTAGATCAGCCACTAGATGAGAACAGAAAAATTCTTCTGTATGAAACTGGTATCTTCATATATACCACATGTCATTGGTTCATGTCACTGGTGTTATGAATAACATGTCATTTGTATTCTGAAAACCACCAAAAGAGGATACTATAAACAAGAAATCTGATTTATAAGGTAAGCAATACAATTCCTCCAAATATTTTGTTAGCTAATGGCATACAATTTTTAGGAATAAATAACTAGAATTAGCTCTTGAGTCTCTAATCTAAAATATAGTATGTCCAAACTACACTATTAATACTAGCAATTTTTCCATTTACCCGTAGGAAAAAGCAAACAAAATTGAGGTCTGATGCCCAAATGATTATCAGCATCAAGGTCTAGAGCTGCTACAGCATTATTATTTATTCCTTTTGCTATTTGGATGAAGAAAGTAAACCATTTTCCTTGCTAATGTTTACAGATTTGCAAAAAGCAGTAAGCTAAAAATTGATTATCTGACACTTCCTAATCTCCAACATATGATTTAGACTACACTTGTACTTATAAAACATGAAGCATACAGAAGTCTGAAGTGATTACAGAAAGTAGTTACCGGAATCTATATCCAATATCTAAGATTTGAACTACATTTTCAGTGTTCCTCCCTTAATTAAAACTTCAAAATATCTCCTACAATGCTTTTCTTTAATACAAATAAGAGTATGTGGCATTACGGTTTCAATTTATAAAGTTATTCTTCACATATTATTTCACTTTATCTTCAAAACTACATATTATTCTTTTCTTAGCATGTGAGAAAATTAGAGTTTATAGCATATTATCTTAGCCTAATCTCTGAATGACCACCATGCCCACAGCATGGAGAAAGGAAATGAAGGGTTTTATTTATATATATATTTATATTTTAGTTTTAGGTGGACACATTCACAATATCTTTATTTTATGTTTATGTGGTGCTGAGGATCGAACCCAGTGCCTCATGCTTGCTTGGCAAGCGCTCTACCACTGAGCCACACCCCAGCCCTGAGGAAATGAAGGTTTGCTGAGGGCATCTGTACACTGGGAGCCACACTGTTGTTCACAAAATCCACCTCATAAAGAATGCCAGTCTCAATTTTCAATTCAAGAGAATGATATACAAACTTAAGAAGTTTGTACAAAGGAGTCAGCAACAGAGCTAAAATATAAATCCATGACTTATCCAGCATCTTCTTCAAGGCTTGTGTGATGACTATTTGGGCTATTCAACACTGAATGCTTTGAGATGTGGCATGCACAGACACTTCCTACTGCACACCTCTGTCTCCACCCTGCAGGCACTGAATGAACTTACAAGGCACACATCTGACAACTCTAACATTGGATTTTCCTCATGTACTGCAGATCACCCCCAGACTGCCTCGTTTAGGAATGCTTAATAAATGCTAGTTGAATCTCAAAATGCCATAAAATTAGGCCAAGTCAAATATCTCCACAGAAGCCATATTTTTCCATGATATGAAGCCAAAGATCACACTTCAGACCTTGGAGCTCTTCTTCAAAGGACCTTGGTTCTGTGGAAGATGAGCCTGGAACATTCTGTGCCAGAAGGAAGAAAAGCATTCAAAGAATGTGACAAATGCTCACTGGACAAAAACGCCAGAATAAAATGTCTCTTACGGACAAATTTTGGGAAAGCTTGAACATCAAAATAATGTTAGTAATGAATTATAGCCTATTAAATAAACTTGTAAACCAATCAGTAAATTTTCAGTCTGATGAGGAATATGATATTTTCAATGTCTTAAATTGCCTCTCCAAAAATTTTTTGATTACAACAGAAAAAAGAATGAATCTATAAGAGACCATCTTAATTAAGAGATCAATATTGGCTGGGTCCAGGGACTATGCCTACAATCCCAGCTACTTGTAGGACTGAGCTAGGAGGGTCACCAGTCTTAGGCACGGACAACTTAGCAAGAGCCTGTCTCAAAATAAAACCAAAAACAAGACTGGAATATAGCTCAGTGGTAGAATGCTTGCCTAATGTGCAAGGCCCTGGGTTCAATCCCTAGCACGGGAGAGAGAGAGAGACAGAGACAGAGATCTTAGAGTGAACCTTCTCAGTTATGTGACAAATCAAGTCATGCATGCACTTCCTGGCAGGAGAAATGAGAAGGCCACAGGATCTGTTCTGTGACACTCCTAACAAAAACACATGATTTGAATCTAATGACAAACCATCTCAAAATGAGACATTTTACAAAATAACTAGCCTGTAAACTTCACAAGTGTCAAGATCATAAAAGTGAAGGAATGACTGAGAGTTTTTTCCAGATTGAAGATGACTAGCAGAACATGAGAAAGAAATACAATGCATGATAAAGTACATTTTGGGGATAACTGGTGAAACTTGAATAAGCTATGAGAATTAGATAACAGTAATATATCAGTGTTGACCTGCTTAAATTTTAATGATGGTATCATCGTGTAGGAAATACACTGAAGTATTCCCTGGGGGTGGGGTATCATGTCAGCAATTCAGCATCAAATGGTCAAGAAAAACTTCTGTGAACTCAGAACTTTTCTGTAAGTTTATTTTAAAAAAAAATACTTGGTTGATCTCTGAATAATACTTTTATTACAACTCCACATTATCTAGTCTTAGTTCAGTAACACACTAAACACAACCCTCATTGCCAGAGCAGCGTATATTCCTATCTTTGCTGTGATGTAGGAAATCAACGAAACTGCAAGTTTCATGATTAGTAAAATGTGTAGAAGCTGGATGGTGAGTATGAGGGGTTATTATATTTGTCTCTTTACTCTTTACGTATGAGGTTAAACTTCCATACTAAAACTATGGACCATCTCTGCCAATGTGTTATTATTACTAGTGCTGGAGGGAGCGAGGGAGGGGAGGGAGAAGAGCAGAGAGATATATACAGACAAATAGCAAAGATATCTTCACATAACTGGGGTGGAGAAATCAGGGAGATGACAGCCATGGTAAACAGAGATCACTTTAAATTTTAGAAATTCTTCCTTTTAAATAAAGAAAAAAAATCTAAATCTGATTGAACATAAATAGAAAAATAATTATTTTATTTTAAAAATATATATATGGCTATACTGACTCCAAAGGGAGGTGGCAAGTGGCCCCGAGGATACAAGTTCTCCTTGCACACATACACATAACACACACCACAGAGGAGGGCAGTTTTTAAATTTAAACTCCATAACCCCCTTTATTATAAAATTATCCCATGCAGAACCTAATTTCTGCTTTTGTCCCGTTTTGAAGCACACTATGCACAAAACTGAACAGGAGTGACAATGTACTCAGCTGCTGAGCTCATAAAAATTGGGGAGAGGGAGAGCTTCCTTGTATAGAGTGAAAATTCCAGCTAGAAAGTGGCCTGTTTCAGGATGAGTCCTACTGGGTATCCTGCTGAAAATCAATTCACCAAATCACTTGTCTTTTATTTGTAAATGAGTAAAGTTTGTTTCTCTTTGTGCATATAATTTATTTCTTACAGTTAACATATTACTATATATGCAAAAGATAAAACAATAATTCTCCAAGTGTTCATGGAGCAAGGACCATGTCGAACTCTCTGCTCTTCGTAGTACATTCCACTATTGCTGATATTCCACTACTTAATTATCCCACCAATAAAACAGACATACACAAAAAGACTTTGCTTAGTCAGAGTTTTTATGTCACAAAAAAAATGACTACATATGGCCACAAAGAAATAGCAGTAGTTAAGCAAACTTTACGTTCCCATTAGATGGAAAGGCTTACCAGGTTCATTTCCTGAGTCAATTCAGAGAGGATTATTACTCCTATTATGCAGTGCTCCACAGTACCCTTTGGAGAAAATAACCAAGTTTAGCCTACGTGGAGACATGTGATTGGTTGGTTCTTACAGTGTAAACTGGGTAACAGTTACAAAATACTAAATACCAAAACATCACACTTACTTAATAACACATATATTAAAATATGTAGAAAAGTCACTGAGTTCTACAAATAAAAGGATTTCAAGCTCATTTTTTGAAAGATAAATTTCAGTACCCAGAGTTGAAAGGGAAAATGCTCACCTACCTTAGAGCTACATAATATCCTACAAAATATTTCTGGCACCTGAGACTTACCATAAACTAAGCTTCAAATTATGAGTTTAGAAAAAAAAAATTATGAGTTTAGTTTAAATTTTTTTATAAGACTATAAATAAGTCTGAGCAAAAAAAAAAATGCTCTTTAGCTCTATAAATTTACTTTGACACATACTGTGACAGCTGCATTCAATAAGTAATTAATAAATAGCTTAGGAACTAATTAAATCCCTTGATCTAGTATCAGATAAAATCACTTAGACCCTTTTAATATTATTTAGTAGTGTAGAAGTATGGATTCATTGTGTCTATAATGAAGGCATATAAAGCACCCAATACAAAAGGTAAATGTATAACTGTTAGTCTGGTATACATTTTCACAGCCTCTACTGTTTTTAATATAATTTCTTCCAATTTAATTTCAAAACTTTTTTCATATCAAAATTGATTTTATATACATATTATTAACAAATTACCCTACTGCAAAAATCACAGTGGAAATATGAAAATAGTAAGTGTAACTTTGAATTACAGTGCAATCATACTAAAACATTAACAGATGGTACATTTTTCAATTTTTTTAATGCCTTTATTTATTTATTTTTATGTGGTGCTGAGGATTGAGCCCAGGGCCTTGCACATGCTAGGTGAGTGCTCTACTGCTGAGCCACAACCCCAGCCCCCACGTTTCAAATCTTTTTTTTTTTTAATTATTTTTTAGTTGTAGTTGGACACAATACCTTTGTTTTTTTGGTGGTGTTGTTGTTTTTAATGTGGTGCTGAGGATCGAACCCAGGGCCTTGTGCTTGCTAGGCAAGCGCACTACCACTGAGCCACAATGCCAGCCCCATGTTTCAAATCTTAATGCTGTAGTTGGTCATCCCTTCTAACCCTCACAGAATTCTAATACTAATGCTCACTAGTGTAATGAAGTTCAGATTACCTCATAATAACAATGAAACGAACAAAAGAAACACCCCTGAATTCTTCAAGGCCTGATGAGGGTGCCTGATGGAGCCCCTAATTTCCCATTTCCTGAGGCATTCCTTCCCTGTGTACAGACTCGATGTTTCTCAAAATGTGGCTCCCTCGCCAACTGCTGGCCCAGTTGCAAATTCGACTCTAACATGAAAATGGCTTGGTACTGGTCTAAAACAAAATAAAGAGCATGTACCAGAATAGAACACAGGTAAGTAACTACATACTGTTCAGTTAAGCTGGCTTTTTTTCTTTTCTTTTTTTTTTTTTTTGGTGGGGGGGTGGTGAGTCTCTCTTGATGACAGAAACACAAAATTCATTTATGGTTTGACGTAAACTCCTTGTTGCAGAGCAGCAACCTGAACAGCAACCTGCTGCCGTAGGTGACAACTCTTAGATACACATGTAGAAAGGAGGCACATACACATGCTGGGAGTGTGGCAGCAATGGGGCTGCAACACTAGAGAAAGTGGGTGCCCAGAGGTCAGGACATTACAGTTCTAACAAACCTATAATTTTCAGAACAAAATTCCCACAAGGTGCTAACACCCAAATGAACTTTGTGGTACTATTTTTAGAGTACTAAAACAATAAATCGTCTTTCCCATGACTCAAGGCTAGGTCAAGTCATATACCCCAAAACAGTGCTAAATATTCTTTTATGGTATTATAATAAACTTTCAAGATAAAACATTTTGTTTCTTCTGGTCTCCCAAAATTGACAAAGGTACATGCTAAAGCCCAACTTAAAGCTGAACTTACCAGATGCTGAAGAGGGAGTCTGAGAAATGCTAGCCAACAAAAATTATTTCATTTCAGTTGGTTTTCAACTTCAGCTTTATTTTAAAAGAACCCACATCTATTTTTGTCTACTGTCATGACTATTACCAGTCTTAGTAAATGGCAAGAGAAGGACACTACAGTACTACTCCAAATTACAAACACAACTCTGAAGTAAGAAGCTCTGTCTCTGAATAAAATCTCCTCCTGTGCCAGTGCACGCTGCTCTCCTCGGGGATAAGAATGTGCTTAACTCCTGTCAAGTTTCAGATGATCAAATACTTGTTCACAGGGGTCTTAACAACGTGAATAAAAGAGAAGCTATGGGAGCCAGTATTTCAGTCTGAGTTTGCAGTACTGCACTATGATGGGGTTACATCTAACACAGGGGGTGACTTTCAAAATTATTCAATGAGAAGGAAAATCCCAGAAAGTCAAAACTACCCCTAATCGCTAATAAACCTGTGCTGAACCATCCCTCCATCAAAACTGCCAAATAGCCAGGCACAGTGGCGCATGCCTGTGATCCTAGCAGCTCTGGAGGCTGAGGCAGGAGGACTGCAAGTTCAAAGCCAGCCTTAGCAAAAGTGAGGTGCTAAGCAACTCAGTGAGACCCGTCTCTAAATAAAACACAGAATAGGGCTGGG